AAGAGTGTTGATTTTCTCTAAAGTTTTATTTACAGTGATGTTTATTGTTCATATGAGTGAACTTTAAAACTAAATAAAAGAAATTATAAAAACAAGACTGTGTCAGATGCTGTTAACTCCTTATCCAAAAGTCATTGCTCATTTTCTTCCTTACTAACAGAACACTGATTTCATTCTGGGTGGCAAAGTGACCAGCCTCAAGAACTGACAGAGTGAAGTAAGTCGGAAAGAGAAGGACAAATACCGTGCTAACACGTGGGTGAGGTGTGTTAGGGCGAGAGAGAGACATGGACATATATATACTAACAAACGTAAGGTAGATAGCCAGTGGGAAGCAGCCGCATGGCACAGGGAAACCAGCTTGGTTCTTTGTGGCTGTCTGGAGGGGTGGGATAGGGAGGGATACAAAGAGGGAAGAGATATGGGAACATATGTATATGTATAACTGATTCACTCTGTTATAAAGCAGAAACTAACACACCATTGTAAAGCAATTATACCCCAATAAAGATGTTAAAAAAAAAAAAAAGAACTGACTCTCCTTTCCTTCCTTCCTCCCTCCCTCCCTCCCTTCCTTCCTTTCTGGCTGCATTGGGTCTTTGTTGCTGTGCGAGGGCTTTCTCTAGTTGCCTCGAGGCGGGGCTCCTCTTCATTGTGGTGTGTGGGCTTCTCATTGCGGTGGCTTCTGTTGTTGCAGAGTATGAGCTCTAGGCCCACGGGCTTCGGTAGTTGTGGCTTGTGGGCTCTAGAGCGCAGGCTCAGTCATTGTGGCACATGGGCTTGGTTGCTCTGTGACATGTGGGATCTTCCTGAACCAGGGGTCGAGCCCAGGTCCTCTGCATTGGCAGGCGGATTCTTAACCACTGCACCACCAGGGAAGTCAAAGAAGTGATTCTTGATTGGTCTTAGTCCATTATGGAAATCCCATTTTTGTTTGCCAGGTACTCATGTCCTAGCACTCCCAGCAGTTTTGAGATACTTATAATGCCCAACTCTGGTCCATAACATACAAAGGGAATTCTGTTGTAGAACTTCTAGGAAAATATTTCTTCACTAACCATGTCACGCTACTTTGTCTCTGCCCCTTCTTCCTGACTTTGACTCTGATGTGAAGATGTAATTCTTTGAGTTATGGTAACCAAGAGGCCACAAGCATGAGGAAAAAATAGCAAGGTGCCCAGGATGTAGGATAAAAAGAGCCTGGGCCCTTGACAATATTGTTGATCTGCCCACCCAACCACAAGGATCCCTGCTTCCAAATTTGATTACATAAATAAATGTGTTTATGGTTCAAGTTACTGGTAAGTTTTATGTTACTTTTAACTTAGTACATCCTAATTTAATCAAAGATTAATTTGCCCACAGCAAATCTGAGACTCAAACCCATGTGTATTCAATTTTTACTGAACCACTGTGACTTTGAGCAAGTCACATACACTCTCTGAGTCTCAGTTTCAACATGTAAAATGGGGCTCATAATACCTTCTTGGTGAGATTCGAGAGCCAAATGAGATAATGCACATGAAAACTCTTTACAAAGTACAGACTGCTATACAAGTACAAGCTGTTTTTACATAAAGCAGTTGCAGGAACACAATACTGCAGTTCATTCAATTTTTCTGAGCTTTCTAGTGGTGCTGAAATAAATGACAACCAAAGAGGTGCTTAGACAAATGCACATTTCATCAGGGGCCACTTTTTGAGAATTTGGTAACAGCAGTTTAACAGAAAGACCGATTTTTCTCCCTTGGAGAAGTTCAGGTTTGTAAATATGGATGGTTTTAAAGGTAATGGCCATGTACATGACAGGAACATTTCTCAGAGCTTGTTCTTATAGGAGTGCCAAGACTTTTGATCATGAAGATGAATGTGATATTTAAAATAGATTTTGTCAAGCTAAGTAACTTATTCCATTGGGTCCAACCTAATGTCTAGCATGACCTAAATTCTGAAGACTTTTCCTTGGTCTTGGGATCCCTTATTAACCATGTGGGCACCCCACTGTGATATAGAATCCTATGTGTAGAGAGTTAAAATTAGAGTTAGTGCTTGTCTGTTAATATCCCTGGGCCTTAGTCTCTTCATTTGTGAAATAGGGAAGTAGGAAGGAGGTGGGCTAAATAATTGATACATTTTGTTTCAGTCAGAGTATCATGTCACTCTCCTAACTAAAACCATCCAAAGGGTTCCTGGTGTGCTTTTTAAAAAATTAAAATTTCTCATCATAAACTTAAAGATTCCCATGGTTTGGCCGATACCTCCTTCTGTGGCCTCATTATGTACTAGTCTACCTGTCACTCACCAATCATCAGCTGCACTTACCGTCTTCCTCTTTCTTGAACATGCCTAGCTCATTCTCACCTTGGAACTGTGCACTAGCTGTATTCTCTCCCCAGAAGACACCTCCTTAGAGAGGCCTTCCCTTGCTACCTGATCTAAGCAGCCACCCAGTCACTCTGTATCAGGTCACTGTAAATAATTCTTGTCATACTTCCATATCTATGTATGTATCTTGTTCATTGTTTGCTCCACTAATTAAAAGGTAAGGTTCATGAAGGCAAAGAATTTTTTCTGTTTTACCATACCCACAGTGGCTACAACCATGCCTGCCACTTTGTAGGTGTTCAATAAGTAATTGCTGAATTAATGAACGACTGCATAAAATATGTGAGTATGAAAAAAAAAAATCTGCCAACTGTCTGTTCCCAGCCTTTGTGTTCCCAGCTGCAGCCTGAATTTAATACCACCCCCAGGTTTTGGGACCAACAGGGACCTGAAGCAGGAACAATTAAGCAGCTCCAGCTCTGCAAGCCAGGGCTGTGTATAAAATCCCTGCTTTGTGGGTGGTTTTGTTCTGACCCTTACCACTAATTGGGATTCTAGACCCTCCCTAGTTCCCCATCAATGAAGCCTCTCTTTCAGTTTCCTCAGTGGCCCAGTCCCTCTAGACAGAGGCCACATTTCAGACTACTCAGTTCTTCTCTCTTTCCCATTCCCAAGACCTGATATCTGGCTCCTGAACCCCAAACGAGTGGGCCCTTCTTTAGTCGACATATGTCCCTAATACCAAATAGCCTTCCTAGGCCTTTGCATTACACATTTACTCTTGAAATACCCCACTATCTCATGGAATCCTCCCCTGCCCCTGATGTTACCAGGTTGACTTCTTAATGGAGTTGTGATGGCTATTGTCATAATCTTTATTTTCTGTTTTTTTGATGTGGACCATTTTTTTTAAAAAAAGTCTACTGAATTTGTTACAATATTGCTTCTGATTTATGTTTTGTTTTTTTGGCCCTGCAGCATGTGAGATCTTAGCTCCCTGACCAGTCATGGAATCCACACTCCCTGCATTGGAAGGTGAAGTCTTAACCACTGGATCACCAGAGAAGTCCCCTGTCATAATCTTTGGTTTGTTTTATCTACTAAACTGATTAGACACAAATGGGGATGACTCTGCTAATCTTGGACTCTCTTGGTTGCCAGTCTGGTTCCTAAGATGTGACAGAAATAAGTATCCTGACCAGGGGGACTTACCTTGGAGAGCTCTTGTCCAGGCCCACAGAGTTGGCAAGCGACACACCGTCCCCATTCGTCCCAGTACTCATTTTCTTGACAATCCATGGTGGGAATGCTATGGGTACACAACACAACAGTTAGGGAACTAGTGGAAAGGGATTTCAAAGTAAGTAGTGGCTTCCATGTCAATTGGTTTATGGGCCTGTTAATCTAGTCTCTGGTCCTGGGTTATAAGGGTTGAGAAAGCCAACCCAAAACAGCTAATGCATATATAGCACTGACCATGTGCCAAGAACTCTTAAATGGTTTACAAGTAATAATTCAACCTTTAAAACAGCCATATAAATAATTATTATTAGCCTAATTTTGCATATGAGGAAAATGAAGCACAGAGACCAAGGGATTCACCAAAGTTCACACAGTTAGTGCCTATAACACTTGCTGAACTGGAAAGAGAATAAGACAAGGAGCTGGCTTCTGCCTAGGGAGTAGAGAATAACCACAATCTCTCACATGTTACCAGCTATTAACAGTTTAGAAAGCACTTTAATACCCATTATATTTGATCCATACAACATCCATGTGAGGTAAGCAATATAGAGATTATCATCCTTCCTTTGTGGATGAGAAAGATGAAACATGGTTCCCTTTTGCCAAAACTGTCTTTAAGTTTGAGGAGAACTAGCTGTCATTGCTTTTGTCCTTGTCTGGGTAGGAGGGGAGAATGACCCAGCATGAAGAAATGTCCTGGTACACTAAGGTGTAGATAAAAGGAAAGTCACATAACAGTTCTCATAATACAAATGGCATAGGGCAGTGGCACTAGCATTGGTCAGAGTGTTGGGAGATATGGGTTCTATCCTGGATATAGGGTAACAAATCATCCAGGTTCACTTAGGACTAAGAAGCCTCCCCAGGACATGGGACTTTCAGTGTTAAAACTGGTACAGTCTCAGGTAAATTGGGATGGTTGGTCAACTTACTTGGCTCTTCTTCATTCAATCCATGATCCTGGATGATTCACTTTATTTTTTCTGGGCTTAGTTACTTAATTTGAAGAAAGGGGGAAGTATATTCCTCACCTACCTTATATAGGTCTTGGGATGATTAAATGAGCTAAGGTCCATAAAAGCATTCTGAAGGATTTGAAAAGCTATACAAAATAAGACAGAGTTAAGTATGTAGACAGAGAGTTTTATACAAAGGTGAATTTTAATGTAAGTAACTGATACATGGGGCTTGCACTAGTCAAAGAGAAAGGTGGGGTGAGATTCTTTTGTGCAATCCTTAACCTCATGCCAAGGTGAACTTCAGGTGGCTTCTCAAAGTACTGAAAGTCCTAAGTATGTACTTCCAGTCAGAAGAGTGGAGAGTGTGAATGTGCACCTTGAGAGACCATCACTCCTCCCTTCAAAAGTCCCCAATAACGATGGGATAAGTCATCCTGTCTGGCATTTTTGCTTGAATACACCTTTTCCCACCATCAACTGGGCCATTCTTTCCCATGCATTCATTCAGAAGAAAGTGGACTACAAAATCCATTTTTGCACAAGCTGAAGATGCTCCCTCCTATGTTGTTTCGATTACTGGCCCATAGTGTCACCCTCAGTATGCACGCTCCCCTCCCTACCCCATCTTCTTATTAAGAACAAAAACCATCAGTGGTCTCACAGCCCTCATGACAAGGGAATTAAGTGTCATGGGCACAGGGCCAGCATATTGGTTTGGACAACTCCCCTGTATCCTTCTCTTGCCCACAAAAACAGAAAAACATTGTCAGGAGCCAAAGAGCTGTCCTGCCCTTGAGAAAAGCTCCTTATATAGGCATCTGAAATCTCCATAGCAGCTGTTTCTGGCCTTTGGATGTCTGAGACAGCCTATTCTGTTTGGTATCCAGAGACCCTCCCATGTAATAAATATCATGTGGCATGAATTTTAACATGTCCCTCTAACTTTGACTTTGAGACCTGTGTCTAGGCAAGTTGGGCATATTGCCAAATCCCCATATCAGGTCCCAGGGGATGAACAAAGGACTTTACCCCCTCTTTTGTCAAACTGTTTATCCAAAGCATACAAATTAAACTGTCTTTCATTATAAGTTTAACAAATTGCCTTTTTAAAAGAGAAGAAAGCCACATAGACTCTGATCTGTTTTGAAGAAGTCAGGGCATATGGGTAAAATTGTCTAAGAATGGTTAAATTATTACCCAGGGACAAACTCAGACCTTATGTAAAGTTCTTCCCTGTGGTCAGCAGTGTCCTGTGGTAGATGTAGTGTCTTTTTATTTTAAAAGAAGGTGAGAGAGAATAATTAGGTTTTGAGAAAATCAGAGCTACTCTGAAGCATCCTATAACTGCAGCTAACACTCTTCTAAAATGTCACAGAGCATGTCTGAATCTTCCAAAATGCTGTATAAGTCAGCAATATAGGCAGACCTATAAGATTTTGACATATGTATATACTCATACAAATGCTATCCAGATAAAGATACAAATACAAAACCTTTCCATTACCTCAGTAGACCCTTTCATGCCGCTTCCCAGTCAATGCCATCCCCTTCTCCCAGGTAATTTCTATTCTGGCTTCTATCACAATTATTAGTTTAACCTGTCCTTGAACTTCATATAAATTGTATTCATATAAGAGCACTCTTGGGACTTCCCTTGTGGTCCAGTGGCTAAGACTCTGTGCTCCCAATGCAGAGGGCCCAGTTTTGATCCTTGGTCATGGAACTAAATCCCACATGCTGCAACTAAATATCCCACATGCCACAACTAAAAGATCCTGCATGTGGCAAAATAAGATCCCACGTGCCACAACTAAGACCCTGCACAGCCAAATAAATAAATATTTCAAAAAAAGAGCACGTTTTTGTTTCTGGCTTTCTTTGCTCAATGTAATGTCTGTGAGATTTATCCATTACACTGTATGTAGCAATATTCATTCCTTACCATTGCTGTATAGTACCCCATTATATGGGTATGCCACAATTTATTTATGCATTTTTTTGGTTAATGGACATTGAGCTGTTTCTAATTTGTAGCCATTTACAATAAAGTTGCTATACTATGGTCAATTTATTTTCAAAAAGAGTGCCAAGACAGTTAAATGGGAAAGGAACAGGCTTTTCAAAAAAAGGCATTGTGACAACTGGGTATCCACATAAAAAAGAATCATATTGGACCCTTACCTCACACCATATATAAAATTAACTCAAAATGGACCAAACCTCTAAATGAAAGACATAAACCTATAAAACTCTTAAAAGAGCTTTATAAGAAAACATAAAAATGTTTATAATTAAATATTTCTTTCTTATAAGAAATATAGGTATAAATATTTGTGACCTTTGATTAGGCTATGGTTTCTTAGATACAACACCAAAAGGAAAGCAACAAGACAGAAAAAATGATAACTTTTACTTAATCAAAATTTAAAACTTTTGTGCTTCAAGGACAATATCAAGAAAATAAAAAGACAACTCACATAATGGGAGAAAAACCCTATAAATTATAGAGAACTGATAATATATATATATATATATATATATATATAATAGAGAAATCTTACAACTCAACAATAAAAATGCCAATAACCTAATTAAATATGGGCAAAGTACTTGAATATACATTGCTCCAAGAAGATATAAAAAATGGCCAAGGGCTTCCCTGGTGGCGCAGTGGTTGGGGGTCCGCCTGCCGATGCAGGGGACACGGGTTTGTGCCCCGGTCTGGGAG